TCACCCAAATTTTATTATATTTTTTGATACATATTGATGTCCTTATGCTGTGTAGAAAGTTTGAGGTGATTCTGACTTTAATTTTTTGAGTTACGGCCATTTTAAAAAAATGCCAAAAATCTGAAAAGTACCCAAGGCTATAGTCCATGGTTTTTTCCAAAAAATGGCTCCGAAATCACCCCCAAATTTTTATTACATTTTCTGATATATATTGATGTTCTTATGCTGTGTAGAAAGTTTGAGGTGATTCCGACTTTAATTTTTCGAGTTACGGCCACTTTAAAAAAATGCCAAAAATCTGAAAAGTACCCAAGGCTATAGCCCATGGTTTTTTTCAAAAAATGGCTCCGAAATCAACCCAAATTTTTATCACATTTTATGATGCATATTGAACAATAGGTGAACAATATCATAGCATAGAAAGATAGAGGGAGTAGCTTATTATTTTTTATTTATTTATTATTATTATTATTATTATTACTATTATTATTATTATTATTATTATTATTATTATTATTATTATTACTATTAATAGGGTGCTCCTGGTAGAAAAGGCAGGCAAGGATCTCAAGGGAATCCTGGACCTAAAGTAAGCCCCACCCTCAGCCCCACCCCCTCCTAACTTCATCATGCAAATCAATGATTTATTTATACTTGTACTACATGTACATGTATGTATACATTTAAATGTTACTGTTCTTAGGGTGTTCAAGGTATGACTGGTGATACTGGTGCTAGAGGAAGAACTGGTCTTGGTGTAAGTAATAGTGTTACTATTAATAGATTAATGTTACTATTAATAGATTAGTGTTACTATTAATAGATTAGTGTTACTATTAATAGATTAATGTTACTATTAATAGATTAATGTTACTATTAATAGATTAGTGTTACTATTAATAGATTAGTGTTACTATTAATAGATTAATGTTACTATTAATAGATTAGTGTTACTATTAATAGATTAGTGTTACTATTAATAGATTAGTGTTACTATTAATAGATTAATGTTACTATTAATAGATTAATGTTACTATTAATAGATTAGTGTTACTATTAATAGATTAGTGTTACTATTAATAGATTAATGTTACTATTAATAGATTAGTGTTACTATTAATAGATTAGTGTTACTATTAATAGATTAGTGTTACTATTAATAGATTAGTGTTACTATTAATAGATTAGTGTTACTATTAATAGATTGGTGTTACTATTAATAGATTAGTGTTACTATTAATAGATTAGTGTTACTATTAATAGATTATTGTTACTATTAATAGATTAGTGTTACTATTAATAGATTAGTGTTACTATTAATAGATTAGTGTTACTATTAATAGATTATTGTTACTATTAATAGATTATTGTTACTATTAATAGATTAGTGTTACTATTAATAGATTATTGTTACTATTGATAGATTATTGTTACTATTAATAGATTAGTGTTACTATTAATAGATTAG